ACATCTAAGTGCCCATGTATCAGAACCGTTTATTGCATTTTTTGTTATATATCTCTTCATTACAAGCATTAAGCAGCAGGATTGGTAGGTGCATTGGGAACTGTGCCAGTAATTACATGTGCATACACTATTTGAAAAGGGAGTGAATTAGAGCCAGTATCCCAAAACATTATACCTTCTTTCATCTTAGGCATTGCCAAAATTGCATGTAAATATATATCCATCTATTCATTCCACACATACTGCAGACTTCTTACAAAGAGTGTGTGCATACTTGTTAGCATATGTGTATATATGTGTATAACTAGTTTGTTGCTGGTTTCTATTCCTTTATATTTGGCACATAGCATTAATGAATAAATCATTTAAAGGTGACTGACCCTTTTGAGTTGTCTTAATTACATGTATTATAATTGCATTGTTTGAGCAGGTCACTTAACTGCTGATGGTTTGATTCTCTAACCTTTTCAATTAGGGAGTTCGACTTCCCTCAAAGAATTGTTCTGTGGAATCAGCAGAATTTGAAATCTGGGAGAATGTTAAGTGTTTGGGTGGATTCCTCTCCATTAACAAAAGCTGGGAATAGGAACCAAGTTTAGGGTATTGATGGGTATGGTGTTAGGAAAAGTAGTGGATTAAGCTGTAAATGTGTGTAGGGCAGCTATCTGAGGAACTGGAATGCCAGTGAAGATTTTTGAGTGATGAAATTATCAGCATAATTTGAAAATTAGAGTGCAAAATGGACTATAATTGCTTAAGCTTGGGTAAAACCGCTTCCATTGAAAACACCCTAGGTAAAGAGAATATAATGCTGTAGATATCAAGTAGTTCTTTCTTCCCCCATCTCCTCAAATATGAAGGGGTGGGGTTCCCTTCAGGTTGTTCAACATGACATGATCTATGTATGTGAAGACAAGTATATAAAAGGGACACATAATTAAATAATCTTATTTGCATCAGTAATAGTGTCAGTAAGGCTAAATTCCGATAGATGAGGAATATAAAAAATGCCACATGTAGAACAAAATGACAAGGCAAGAGTCTTAATCGTGATTGGAAAACATGCACTAGTGCTTAGCGCTGAGAAAACTCTCCAGGTTTGCCTCAGTATTTTCAAGCTGGGATGTATCCAAAGTATGTGAGCTGGATGTAAAAAATCCTTGTTCACTGTCAAACAACAGTCAAACTGCTTTAGGTATCATTGTTGATTGTATAGTTGGTATTGATAGACATAAATTATAGTCTTGCTTTTATCGTTTTCCTTTAAAGAGCTTGGCCTTTATTCCAGAGCCTTAAATACCTAATGGGTCTTCTTTCTGTCTTTACTTGGTTTTATTCTTTATTGATGTGTATCTGGTTTAAAGGTTTTTGTTTTGTTTGGGGGTTTTTCGAGACAGGGTCTTTCAGTGTAACTTTGGAGCCTGTCCTGGAACTCACTTTGTAGACCTGGCTGCCCTTGAACTCAGCAGAGATTTGCCTGCCTCTTCCTCCCAAGTGCTGGGATTAAAGGGATTAAAGGCGTACACCACCGCCCAGCATGATTTAAAGTTTTTAAAACTTAGTCCAAGAATGTAGCTTTGTAGATCTAACTAACCAAATCTGGAACAAACTCTTCCGTTTCCGAGCCATTGGTCCTCTTTGTAAGGATACTGTGTGAACTCACTAAATAAGCAGTAGGGTGACCTTTTCCTGATTGCATGGAGAAATAGTGTTTAGACTTACACCCAAACTTTTACATTCTTAATGTTTCTTTCTTTGAAAATCGTGGCGTGAATAGAAACTCTAAGCAATGTATGGATTCTCTGCTTCACCAACTTTAAATCACTTTTAAAGTTTATGCACTTTCTGAACTTTTCTAACATAAAAACCCCTACTCTGGGAAGTAGACTTTTTAAAATTATTATGAAATTTGAGAATGCAGAGATTGTGAAAGCACACAAAAGGAATAATCACATGCAAATTTTCTCAACTTCAAGTCTCACCTACTTCTTAGAGAAGACAGGAGAGTCCGTCATGGCTCAGAAGGAAGAGGTCCCAACCCTGAAGTTCCTTAGCTATGGAAGCTATTATCAGAGGCAAAGTCAAGATACAAAGGTGTGTTGTCTTCTGTGTGTCCTCATCAGGGCTCCTAGAAAGTAAGGTCTATCAAGATGAAGTAAATCAAGAAAATGAATGCCTTATCTCTGTTCATAAAAAGGAACGAAGAGAGGGAGGGAGGGAGGGAGGGAGGGAGGGAGGGAAGGAAGGAAGGAAGGAAGGAAGGAAGGAAGGAAGGAAGGAAGGAAGGAAGGAAGGAAGGAAGGAAGGAAGGGGAGAACCAAAACCACTTGGATAATAGTGAAGAGTATCAGGGAAGTAGGGTTTCAGTAGATCTAAGGAACTACTTTGTTTCAGACAAAGGAAGTGAGGGCTTAAAGAAAGATAGCTTTTTAACGTGACTTTGTTGATGTAGAAAACAAGAAATGTAAAAGAATTAATAAAGTAAAAAAGAATCAATAAAAAACATAAAAATGTGCTTTTATCATATTAAAAATATTTCAGTTTTTCTGAGAGATATAGGATTCATACTTAATTTACAAACATAAGGTTTAAAAAAAAATACCAGTACTGTAGGTGAGAGATTGCTCTATAAAAATAATTACATGTCGTACGGTTATAAGATACATTTGTATTTTGTTTTAATTGTGGGGAAACACTCTGGACAGATTTAAAGATGGACACGTTAGGTGATGGAGACTGGGACATCTGCCAGTACTGACAGGCAGAGTCAAGCTGGGTGGCCCTCCGCACATTTTCAGGGCTCACTGTACACCTTATGCAGAGCTCGGAGCAGTCTTTGAGATCAGATACAGACTGGCATTTTCCTCTGCCAGTGACGGGTGGCACTGTGCTGCCCATATGGATCACTGGCTCAGTCTGAAGCTTTTGCTGGATGACAGATGTGTCAAACTGATTTGAAGAGTTGAACTACAAAATCTGTAGGCTGAAATTCTTTTTCTTTGGGGACTACATAGTATTAAATAAAATTTATATAAATGGTCATAACTTCTCTTTAGCTAATAAGTGTTTAATCTCAATTATTTTAGTTGTAAGGTTTTTTTTTTAATGTTCATCTTTCTTTGTAAACATGGAGACAACTCTTAAAATTTTATGTTTTGTTAGCCGGTGTTTGACTTCAGGTTGATAATGGTAGAAATTTTTTTAAAATGCATTTCACTGTATTAACATCAGATTCAAATAAGCTCACTTATGTTTCAAATCTTTCTTAACTCTTTATAGAATATTGTGGTACGAATAAGGTGGAATGATGAAATCTAAAATCTGATCTTTTCATGTAGCCATGGAAGTAACCATCTGTGAAGTTGACAAAAATTTCTAAGAGCAAACAAAGTTTAACTGAGTAGCTGGTCTTTCCAGAACTGCTGTTTATATTCCAAATCTAAATGAATCAGGATGCCCATAATCCTTTAGTAGCTCAGACATCCTACCCGAGCAACACACTTAATAATCACTTTGCTTCCTAGTATTTTAGCTCATTCTCCCAACAGAAGTGGCTGGAGTGGAACGGCCTGACTTCAGGATCATTGTGAAAATTAAATGGACCAAGAACTTATAATATAAAGGCATGTTAGGTAGTAGGAACCCAATAAGTGATATTTTTTTCTCCATAGATTCTCTACTTCATGATGAGAAACAATTCTAAATTCATGAAGCATGCACTGTTAGCTTTCTGTCTCTATAAAAAAGTACTTGAGAGAAACAACTTTAAAAGACATAAGATTGGTTTTGGTTCATAGATTTGGAACTTTCGGTCTGTGGTTACTTGATTCTGCGGCCTTTGGGCCTGTGATGAGGTTGAACATCAATGCCAGGAAACATGCAGCAGAGGAAATAGCAAAAGAGAACAAGAAGGACAGGGATTCAATATCCTTCCAGACCTGCCAGCCCACTTACTGCCAGCCAGCCCCAGTCAGAAGTGTGCCTTGTCAGATAAGGTCTTTCTCCGTGCAGTCAGGCCGGTAAGCCACACACCATCCACCAAATCTATTTCATGCCTGTTTTCTCTTCTCCTGGAAGAGAAGTAGAAAGCTTATCTGTTTGAATTTTAAACACATATTTTTATCCATTGCTTGTCTAAACTGACACAATTGGACTTCTGCAGACAAAGTGAGAATAGTTCTATATCCTGTTTTAGGAATGAAGAAGAGGCAAAAGTAGCCAGTGCTAGACTCCATGTGTCATCTGGAATTCCTACTGCCTTGTTCCACCTTCCTCATATAGAAATGGTTAATTCTCCATAAAAATTGTTAGCCCCCTAGTGACAGTCCAATCAAAACAGTGGTTTATAGGAGTGGTGACCACACATCTTTATTGCCTTTATATCAAAGCTGAGAAAGAAATCTATGAAAATTTTCTTTCTAAAATCATTTTAATTGAGTGCATTTGATTTCTACCTAAAAACCTCATTTAACTCAAGAAATTATAAATGATGGAAAAATGCCTACATTGGGGTTTTCAATTTTTCTCTGAATGTATTATGTTTTATTTACTAAACAGCTTTGAAGCCTGGAGTATATTTTACAAGGTGTGGTGAATCAGCATCTTAGTCTCTTGTTTACCTATTCCTACATCCAAGCCTCTAATTTACTTTGCAAAGAAGAAATATTTATTCGAGTAAATGTATAAGATTATTAAATGAAACGTATTTTATGTTATTTAGATGATATCCTGAAATCCACAAAACCATTCATGCATACGTAAAAATGTCAAATAAAACACACCTAATAACATGTATATATGTTTAAATAGAGATATGCATATAATAATAAATATTTCCTAGCCTTCCAGTCATTAATGTACTCATTAATGTCTACATTTTTTTTTTTTGGATTCTTTTCTACTTAGTTTTTATCTTATTCATATACATATACAAACGAATTTTTGTTTTAACAATGCAGTACAAATTCTATAGATTTTCCATTTTCTCACTTTCTCTCTAGAAATCGACATTGAACGCTGTGTACGAGAGTCAGTCAATCTGTTTTGTTGGACTCCTAAGAGTGCTACATACAGACAGCATGCCCAGCCTCCAAAAGCAACTTCTGAGAGCAGTGGCGTCCGGAGCTCAGCACCTTACTTCTCTGTGGACTGTACAGACCCTCCAAAGACAGACCTGGTATGTACTAGCAGATACCAGTTACAAATCCTAAAGGGTGGATTGTTGGTGTGTCCTGGTATCATTGGTGTTCACAGTAGTGACACTTATGTTCTTTAAGGTGGCTGTGTTCACATGGTTATTTCAGGACACCTCTGTCTCCTTTCATGTTACAGTGAGGAAGATTGTTTGGGCATAGTCCTCTAATGACAAGCTTTATTTTATTTTCCACATAAGCACACTAGCTAGTAACACACCAACTTGTTATATGATATCACAGAAGCAAAGGGAAAATATTTAATATAGCATTGTTAAGGTTTGTTGCTATAATAGGAACTTATTTGTCATAACAAAGGAAACAAGGTTTGGAACACTTTCCCATTATATTTTTCAATATTGGCCTTCTTATTAAATACATTTACAAATTCATTCAACCTAGCTATTTACAACTTATATGTTCCAAAGATTCCAATCTTATATTTTCTTAATTTATTTTCATTAAATTGAATTTTAGGTAATATGTATGCATTGGTTCAGTTAATTTAATGGGGTAGACTTTAAAATATTAAAAAGGAGTGTTTTCCCATTTCCAGTTGTAGCCAAATTGTATTTATTAACAAGGGGCCTGGGTGATAAAGAGTTGACAGCTTCATGGGTATATTGAGAAAGGTTGTAAGAAGTTACTAAATGATCTTGAGAAATAAGAATAAGAACCTATATGGGGAAATAAATACTTTTACTCATCTTCCAAAAGTAGAATAGTCCTCCCAAGGGGAGGATTGGTATTTATTCAGATAAATGGTAAATATTTAAGGTGTTATTTTAAAATTACTTTTTGAATTTTATTTATATGTATGAATGTTTTGCATGCTTATATGTATGTATACCACATATGTGCCTCTTGCCCTCAGAGGTCAGAAGAGTGTGTCTGGTCTCATAGAATTGGAATTATGGATGACTGTGAGCCACCATGTAGATGCTGAGAATTGAACCCCAGTCATTTGGAAGAACAGCAAGCACTCCACACTGCTGAGCCAGCTCTACAGCCCCTATAGAAAATATTTTTAATATGAAATTTTGTCCACTTTCCCATGTTTTTGAGGGTTCAAATTTAAATGCTAATATAAAGGAAAGTAGGTAGAAAATGGGTGTGTGCTGCAGCATACTCATTAAAATTAGGGCAGTCACAATTTAGATTCATGTAATGCCACACTGTTGTGTTATTCTTTTTCCTCCCTTTTTCATTTTTGTTGTTGTTGTTGAGATAAGGCCTTCCTATGTGTCCCAAGCTGGCCTGGAGCTATTATGTAGAACAGGCTGGTCCAAAACTCACAGAAGTCCTCCTGCGTCCACCTCCCACATACTCAGATGAAAGTCCTACAGCTCCATGGCCAGCTTATGTTAGATTCTTGAAAAATATTCTATAGTAGAAAAACATGTTTACTGTTTCATAGAGTTGGCTTCAATTTCGACCCCACTTATTTATTGCTATATAACATTGAATAATCCACAGTCTCTCCACTTACATCTATAAGTGCCTACCTATGTATTACGTACCTTATTTTCTTGACAAAATACAGAGACACTCAAGAATGGAAATGGATTTTGGCTTGCAGTTTCAAATGTATCCGTCTGTTATGTCAAGAGCTGTGTAGCGGAACAGAGTAGTTGATGATGAGCCAGAAAGCAGGGATAGGAGATACAGAAAGAGGTCAGCAAAGCACAGCCCAGGGACAGAGCCCTAGTGACTTACTTTCTCCACTTTGACCTGCCTGCTGCTCTCACCACCTCTCAATAATGGCAGCATGTTAGGAACACACCAGTGGTTTCATTCATTCATTAATTCAGGAAGCACTTGATCTGCTCATCTCTGGAAATGTCACAAAAACACCAAGCAGTGTGTTCACTCTCTTTTATGCCTTTCTTAGCCCTGCCAAATTGGCTTAGCCAATAACCTAAGCTTAGCAAAGTCATTTTACAAATAATGTACAAAGTATCTACTCAGTGCAGGATGAATAGCAAGAATCAAAGCTAGTAGCAATTGCTTTTACATGCTGGATAATTAAGGAGTAAAAATTTCAATACTGTAAAATATATAGAACTTTGTGACAATAATCTTCTGAATCTAAATCGCTTGTGTGGTGGGGTAGTGTTCCAGCATTCCATCCCCTTCGTTGTGTCAGCAGCAGCACCGTCACGTGACATTCCAGATGCACCAGGAGTAGGGCAGGGCACGAGTTGGAGTTGGAGGCCGGCTCTCAAGAGAAGGAATCTTTCTGGCAGTTTTACCCTAGTAATTTCAGTTTAAAATTTCGCTTTGACCTTTACTTCTTAGTAATACCGTTTTGATTTTCAAGCCACTAAAGAATTGCCAAAATCATTATTTCATCTCCTGCCAAGATCTCTCCCATCCAATTTTTTTCCTTAAATAGCCAAAAAAAAAAAAAAAATCACTGGAGAATTTGGGTCATAGTTTACTAGTTGAAGAAAGAAGAAAACAGTAAGTAAAGATACAAACTTTTGATGAATAGGATGAAAGATTTTTGTTTTGGGGTGGGGAGGGTGAGAATGCAGAAATCAGAGATCGACTTTGGGTATTGTTCCATCTTGTTTTTGAGACACTATCTTTGGTAGGGCCTGAATTTAACTGGGCAGATGTCCTCCTGAGTCCACATCCCCAGTGCAGGGGTCCGAGGTGGACAGCCCAGGCCCAGTTCTTGAGGACTGATGGACCAGTCCTTTGGTTTGCAGAGCCTCAGCATTTCCCAGTTGTGCTCTCCTAGCTCCAAGGTCAAAATGGATTTTTTTTTTAACTGAATGTGCTTTTTAAGAAATATGGTGGTTAACTTTAGATATTTTTTTTATCTCTTTGACAAATTTGATCAGCATATGAATTTGTTTATGGACAGTATAACTTAATTATATGCAATATGTGAAAAAGCAAGAATTATTGTTCTTTTTCACAGTAACCTGATTAAGAGCACATATAGTAGCCCAAGATCTTAAAAACTAAGTTTTTATTCATTTACATAATGGTAACTATTTGCACATAATATTGTCATGAGTCAAATAGAATGTTCACTGAATGGTCTTCAATTTTATAACGAATACTTTACATGTTAATTAAATGAGTTTAGAGTCTTTCAAACATTTTTATATTTTATGATGGAATGGCTCCTAAAAGTCAAATATAAGTATTAGTGCATAAAATTTAATCTCAATAATAAACTTTATGTAATTTGAACAGTTAAAAAAGTAGTCTCACAGGGCTTCATAGTTTGCAGGTATTTGGGTATATTCTCTTCCCCTAGATTAATCTCTAAAGTGGTTTTATCCTCTGCTTGAGAGTTGAAACAAGCTAATTAATCTATCTTACATAGTACTCTAAAGTCATAGTTTCTCAAGATTTCACTGTTTCTTTCCAGTGTCACGAGGTATACATTGACATGTGCAGTCACTTGTGTGCTTTTAAATAAGATGGACTGCTCACAGTAAAGTGGACGGGAACACACACACACACACACACACACACACACACACACACACGTAAACTTGCTAACATAATATTAAGAGTAAAATATTGACTTAAAGTCAAACTAAACATTATTTGATTATTCTGTTCAAATCAGTAGGTGGACAGAGCATTTAGCTTTTCATCTATTCTCTTTACTGTATGTATTCTCTATATATTTTAGCTATCAGCCTTTTGTCAGGTAAAAAGTGGGAAATGTTTCCTTCTGTTCTATAGGCTGTCTTTGCCCTGCTGCTCAGAAGAGAGGTGTAACGCACCATGTCTTTGCAGTGATGTGATCCTTGATCATTGGATGGTGTACTTTTTGTCTCAATATTAACTTTTTTATCCTAAAGTTTGTTGTGCCTAGTGTGAGTATAGCTATTCCTGCTTGCTTCAGGTTTCCATTGCTTGGAATATCATTTTCCTTTCTTTTCCATCTGTGTGTCTATAGAGGTGATGTAAATTTCTTGAATGTGTATTGTTTGGTTTACATTTTATTTTTAAATATATTCAACTAGTTTATGTCTTTTAATTGAAGAATTCAGTCCATTTTCACTCATTATTATTTATTGAAAAGGACTTACTACTTTCTGTTATTATCTTTGTTTGAAATACTTTTTCTTTTGTTCCTTTCCTGTTCTTCTTTCCGGTTTGATGGTGCTCACTTCTTTTTATTCTTTTTGTGTATCTGTTCTTCTGCTGTATTCTTCCATGATGATACCTGTTTTACACTGATGTTAGCCGAAAGGCCAAGAAGCGATGGTACCATTTATAGGCTTAAGTATCTTTTGTAAGAGTGACGAAAAAATCATAAATCTGTTTCATTTTTCTTAGAAAGATTCTATTTCTCCTTCAGTTCTGAAAGATATCCCTGTTAGGTTTAGTATTCTTGATGACAATTTCTTTTTCTTTTTCAGAACTGGAAATATGCTTTGCCATTTCCTTTTAGAATACAGTTTCTGTGGGATTTTTGGGGGGAGTTTTACTGGCAAGTATAGCTGTATAATAGAGAAACCTTGAATTGGTGCCTTTCTCTTATAAAATTTGGAGATGTTTTTTTCCTCTGAACTTTTGACAGTTTGACTATAACAAGACATGTAGATTCTACTCTGATTTCATTAAACAGTTTTCCTTTGCCATTAACTTCTTTCTTTTTGCCTTTCTTTCAAAAATCAAAAAATTGTGGATATTTGTTTGTTTAATGTTGTCCTAAAGGTCTTGAATGCATACTTCGTTCTTTGTTTGTCTGAGTGTATGACATATCGGAGCTATTTCACAAGATCTGGCTTCAGTGCAGATATTCTTTTCTACATAACCTAGTCTATTACAGAGGCTTTAAACAATATTTATTTTAGTTGACATATTTATCACTTCATTTCTACAAATTTAAAAATCTGTCCCTTTGCAGAATTTCTAGTTCATACCCCAGTTGTCTTTCTAATACCATTTAATAGTTTGTTTTCTCTTGGGTTTCATTGAGATTTTAAATAACCATTTAAAATATTCT